TTTTGCAGGTACAGGCGCCCGGAGTCCAGACTTAGTGATGTAACTCTCCGGAGGGCAATAGTCTTTACCGCCTCCTAATGAGAAACGTTCTACGGCCGAAGCTGAGGTCTATTCAAATCATGACAGTGATGACGACTTTGAAGTCGAAACGTATGTGGCTGCTGATGGGTAACTCAGAACCAGACGCACCCGTCCCAAGGAAATAAGTGAACGGGGTGATGATCAAGCTGGTCCAAGTAAGTCATCTGGACAGCCGTCTGGACAAAACCAGGTGGCAAAAGACACAACCCTAGTCACTTGAGACGAATTCATGAAATTCATGACAAGTTTCAAGGGGGAGATAAAGGACCTGATCAACAAGCCGGCCAAGAAACCTTCTCCCTTTGAGAAGAACAAACCAAACAGGGACTGAGAGCCCACTCCGCATCCTAAATTAAAGGAGGGGAAGCGACCCTTGATCGATCTTACCAAGATCCGATTCCCTGAGACAGGGAAGAGGAAGGCCATCCGGCATGTCCAGCCAGATGGCTCAAAGAAGACATACTCTAATGCCCGATTCCTAATCGAGCAGAAGAGAAACCAACAACTGTTTGAGTCGGCTTCAACGCTGACCTACCCAGACAACTTCCATAATACCTTAATGAGGTATTCTCAATCTGTATGTGAGAGTCAGTTAGGGGGCTTGTCCGTCCACACTGGCCCTTAGATGATCCATTTGGTCTCGTATGTGCCTCAGCAGCCATACATGCCGTATGGACAACCCTACATGCAATCGACCCTCTTTGGGGGTCAGGCGGCACAAAACTTCCAACCTTTAGACTAGCAGCTCCGTCTGCTAAAACTTAGGGAACAACCTCCTGCATTTTCCAAGGAGATAACCGAGGCGGCATAGCCGACCAAGGTTAAAAATGTCATGGTGGGTACTTATGATGGTACCACCAACCCTGAATACCACCTCATGACCTACACCAACCTCACGTACTTGTAGGGGTTGGATGACGCCACCTAGTGTCGACGCTTCCCGGGTGCATTGAAGGGCATCACCCAACAATGGTTCGACAACTTGCCAGCTGGCTGCATCAACAGCTTCAAGACGCTTGCGTTCTTGTTTGCTTCTAACTTCTCTATGAATATCCCTGTCAAGAAAACAAGTCTTCACTTGGGTGCAGTGCGGCAGGGGGATAGAGAAGGGCTTCGGTCATACGTTAGGCGGTTCAATCTGGTGAGAATCTAGATTCAAGGGTTGTTTGACGATGTGGCTTATACAGACTTCTTCAAGGGACTGAAGGACGAGTCAACTTTTAAGTTTGACCTCGTCACAAAAAGGGTTGCCACCCTCTAGGAAGCGCCGATGGAGGCGGAAGCCTATATACAGGCGATCGAGCTCTGCTCCACCAGCAAGCAATGGGACTCCTAGAAGTCTGACAAAGAAGAGAGTCGGCAAGCTCAGTCCGGCTAAGAAAGTTAAAGAGAGTAAGAAGAGAAAAGAGATCTGGGCAGTTAAAAAGAGTCTGATTAGCCGTCCCAGAAGAAAAAGAAAGAGTTTAAACCGTACGTCCCAAAGTACGAGTTTAACAAAGACTGCTACTCCATCCTCATGGAGATAAGAGACCGGGTGACCATAGAGATGCCAGCTGCTATGTAAGGTTTTGCAAAAAATCGGAACAAAAACAAGTACTGCCATTTCCTTGAGGATATTGGCCACGACACCATGACTGCTATAGTCTCAAGCGGCTGTTGGACCGCCTGGCTGATAAAGGGGTGTTAAAGTCTTACATCCTGAAGGCTAAGGTGACTTTGAGGACAAACCGGGGGCAGTCGTCCAAAAAGGATGCCCAACCTGCTAGTAGTTCGGACACTGACAAAGAGCCGACCTACACAATAGCAGGTGGCTTTGCTAGAGGGGGCCCAACCATCAGGGGCACCAAGGACCATGTGAGACGGTTAGACGTCATTTCAGTTGATGAAGGCAAGAGGTCATCGTCACTGAAAAGGACAGGAGCAAGGATCGCCGACCGCATGATGACCCCATTGTCATTGAGTGCAAAGTGGCCAACCAGAAGGTCGGTCAGATCCTCACCGACACCGGAGGCTCGTCTGATATCATCAACCATAATTGCTTGTCAAAACTGAAATACAAGCCGGGTAGCATGCACAAGGTTTCTCACCCCTTGGTTGGTTTTGGAGGTGGGGTTGTGCACCCAGTCGGACGGATTGACCTACCCATCCGGCTGGGGGAGAAAGGAGAGGGACGCCACATGGTAGTCCGGTTCTTGGTTGTAGAGGATCTGACTACCTATAATCTGATATTGGGTCGTCTGACTCTGAATGAATCCAAGGCCCGTCATTATCCCATCCCTCATAGTGTTGAAATTTGAGAAGGATAATGGATCCGTTGGCTCCCTAAACGGAGATCAGAAGACGCCTAGAGAGTGCTACCTCTCAAACATCAAGCCCATAGTGGCCGCATTCAGCCAGGGTAAGGAGCCAATAAACCTTGATGATGTCAAGGAAGGCGAGCCTGCTCCAACAGCAGCCGACAAAAAGAGAAAGGCCGACCAGCTGGTGGCCTTGAAGAAGGAAAAGCAATAGTAATCACTGACCGGGGAACGGTCGGATGAACTTCGTCCCCAGTCGGTTGGTGAACATGTTGATATTGCTCTGTACGACACACGTCCGGAGCGTATTGTTAAGGTGAGGACGGTTGCTTTTGCGAAGTTGGGTGCAGACTTGCACAATTTGTTAAAGGAATTTAAAGATATCTTTGCCTTTGAAGTGGAAGAGATGCCAGGCATAAGCCCAAATCTAGCTGTCCACAAGCTCGCCGTAGATCCCAAAAAGAAGCCGGTTAGGCAAAAGAAAAGAAACCACGGCGAGGAGAGAAGCCAGGTGGCAGCTGCCGAAGTGAAAAAGCTGTTAGATGCCGGTTTCATTGGGCAGTGTCACTTCCCAGATTGGGTTGCGAGGTGCTTGTAAAGAAGCCGAATGGTACCTGGCGCATGTGTGTTGATTACACTGATTTGAACAAGGCATGTCCGAAGGATAGTTATCCACTTCCAAAGATTGAAAGTCTGGTCGACTCTACAGCCAGATATGCTTTGATGAGCTTTATGGGTGCCTATTCAGGCTTTCACCAGATACCCTTGTGGAAAAAAGATCAAGAGAAGACGACATTCGTCACTGATTAGGGGTTATTCTGCTATACTGTGATGCCGTTTGGCCTGCTACTTTCCAACGAATGATTAATACAGTCCTCATTAATCAAATTGGGAGGAATGTAGAGGCGTACATTGATGACATGATAGTTAAATCCACGCTACAGACGGATCATCTTGCTGACCTCCGAGAAACCTTCACCACACTCAGGCGGCATAAGGTCATTCTCAATCCCAAGAAGTGTGAGATTCCTCATCCACGGATGATGTTGAGGTGGCCTTCGAGAAATTGAAAGAACACTTGCACTCTTTGCCAAGGCTTGTTAGCCTTTTGCCAAAGGAGGCTCTTTACATATACTTAGCTGTCTCAGACCATGCTCTCAGTGCTGTTCTCCTTGCTGAGAGAGACGACATCCAGCTCCCGGTTTATTTCATCAGCCATGTTCTTCGTAATGCTGAACTACGCTATCCAACAGGTGAAAATTTTGGCCTTACTCTTTACATGACAGTCAAGAAGTTGAAGCCTTACTTCTTGGCACATCTGGTTGTGGTCTACACAGACTAACCCCTCAAGCGGCCAATGACAACCTTGGAGTCATCCGGTAGGATGCTCAAATGGGCTATTGAAATGCAAAGTCTTGAAATCTCTTTCGAACCAAGGAAGGCGGTGAAGGGTCAGGCGTTTGCTGACTTCATTGTCAAAATGACAAGGCCGGCTGAGCTGGAGAATCTTGACTAGGTTTGGAAAGTGTATGTAGACGGGAGCTCTACTATGAACAACGGTGGTGCAAGAATTATATGTCAGTCTCCTGAAGGGGACAAGTACGAATATGCACTACGGTTCAAGTTTCAGGCCTCAAATAATGAGGTGGAATATGAAGCCCTACTAGCCGAAATCCGCATGTGCAAGCCGGCAGGGGCAAGAAAGATTGACGTCTTCTCTGATCCGCAACTGATTGTTAGCCAATACCATGGTGACTATGAGGCCACCCATCCGGCTATAATCAAATATCTGCAGGCGGTTAAAGGTGAAGCTGGGACACTTAATGAATTTAATCTAAGTCAGGTTCCCAGGTCAAAGAACAATCAGGCGGATGCTCTTTCTAAGATGGCATCATCCGCCTCATGTGATACGCCTCGGTCAGTCTTCTGGGAAGTAATGGAAAAGCGAAGTATTGAAGAAGATCCCATTAGAGTGCTAGACCGAATCTTAACTTGGATGGACGGCATCTGGGCCTATTTGCTAGACGACACTTTGCCGGATACATATGTTGTAACTAGGGTTGAGCAAAATTATCCGAAAAATCGAAAACCCGAAAATCCGAATCGTAACCGAATCGAAAATTAGGGTACCCGTTTCGATAACTATAACGGTTCGGGTACCCGATCCGATAATTTATTATTGGGTATGGTTATCGGGTATCATTTTAAAATTAACGGTTACCCGATCCGTTCCGATAAGCAATTTTTTCTTAATTTTTTCCTACTTAAATCTATTTATCCAAAATCTAAACTCTTACTTTACTTCGTAATCACTTCATAATTTAAATGATTAGTAATTATTAGTTATTTGGTCATGATCATGTGGTATTAGTGCTGATTAGTGTTGAATGATATCATAATAACTATATTATAAAGTCTAAATTTTTATTATTGGATATCATATTGGGTACCCGATAACCGAACCGAAAATCCGGGTACCCGAAGTTCGGGTACCCAAACTTATTGGTTCGGGTAATGGATATCATTTTAGTATTATTGGTTATCGGGTACCCGAACCGATAGTGTTAACGGTACGGGTACCCGTCCCATGCTCACCCCTAGTTGTAACACCCCCAAAATTCGGGTCATTGTAAACAATAAGAGTAACTCTTTTCTTTTCAAAACCCACCATCGAACCTTGGGAGTGTTACTGCTACACTTATTTTTCCATAGAAAACAAGTGCAAAGCAAAAACAAAAATACCATTTTATAACTAGGTGAGCTAAGTGGCAACAAAGAATTAAATATTCGTTACATCCAAACCATAAAACACTTTAAAACATAATTTAAAAAGGGAAATAAATAAGTTTAGAGTTAACTAAAATGTCTTAGCTACGTGATTATTCTAACGTCTCCTCACACGTAACCGAGTGCCCTCTTACCAACCTGCAAAATAAATCAGGAACAAGAAAAGAGAGAAAACTCCCAAAATCAGATAAACTGAGTAATTCCAACTCCATCCCGTAAAATAATAAATTTAGTTCGAAAAATATTTACGCAAGACAATTTTATCGACATTAATAATAAGTCAAAATCAAGTTGTCGCATAAACTTTATTACTTTAGTTAAGAAAGGGAAAGAGAACGCCAGTAAGCTGGAACTAGTCCCTGTCACCACCTACTTTACAGAGGGTCGCGCGTAACCCCAAATGGCCATAAAATAAACAGAATGTCCCTAGTGTGCACACCCATCACTAATACCCATTGATTAGGAGGAAGACTAAACAGCAATATACGTCAATTTAAACCAACTAGAAGCAACCATAACCACTAGTGGGCAACCTGTTCTTCACCCTTTCGGGTTTCATTTCCCTTCTTAATTTAATGTACATTTTAATAGATTAAGTTGTCCGATCACATTGCACACGAGTATTGCACAAAATCAATTTAATCCCAAGTAGTAATATTTTAATTTCAGTATTAAAACATAGTCATTTTACAAGACATACTGGTTACAACTCGTTTCTCAATAGGTCTTGGAGACCATCAATCACATATAATCAATCATCCAATTCCCAAGATTACAATTATATAAAAACTCTTATGATACCAAATAATCAAATTTTCGAAAATATTATACTAGTACACAATTATAGAAAACTAGTATATAATTTGATTCCATAATATCATACAGTAACACACTCATCACATATAATTACACAAGCACATAGTTGGCACACAATATCTCAAAACAATTTCCTAACGGGATTCTAAAGATGATGGACATTGAAAAATTACCTTGAGTTGCGCGTAAATCTCAAGATAAGTAGCCTCCAAGTTGTTCACCTAGTAGCCTCCGTCTACAAATAAGTAAATAATAATAATACTAAGTTAGTCTAACTCGTATAGCTAATAATCTAATACGAAGTTAGAAGTAGTACGAGACGGAAATAATAACTTATGAGTCAACAGTGCTAGAATTGTAAGGAATTGTATACTAAATAAACAAATGGTCCACTATACTAACTCCTCCACTACCACACTTTCCCATTCTTCTTCTGCAAACCCACGCACCAACTCCTAAAAAAAAGACTTCAAGATTTCTACTTGGCAGAAACAACCCAATTTTTTTTTTTTCTAAAAAAAAAAACTTTTTTAAAAAAAGAAAACTTTCAGTTTTTCAATTACAAGGTGTTCATCAAGAAGATTAAAGAAATTGAGTAGGTAAAACAAGAAATCAAAAGAAGGTTCAATGAACGAAAGTGTAGTTCGTAATGGGTTGGCTGACAATTGTTGTCAAGAAGGATGAAGGTGAAGAAGAACCATGGCTTACCGTTGATATATCGGTCGGGAATGACGACTTGTGAAAGGTTGAAAGAGATGGGTATTATTTGATAGTGTTTGTATACGGCAGATCAATTGGAATTTAGAATATATATAACTTAGAAATCTTAGGTTTAATTGCTCTAGAATATTCAGAAGATAAGATCCAATTTCAAATTGAGTTTGTTGCTAGTTCTGAAAAGATAAGCTTTAAATTTTATTTTATTTTTATTTTTTTCAAAATCAGTTTCTGCGAAATAGGAAACCATTTTTTTTTAATAAATCCGAAAATGGAAATAAAAATAATAATTATTAATTTTTTTTTTTGAAAATAATTATTAATTTAAACTTTATACTAGAAAAATCGTTGATTAATATAAAAAAAATTTGGGGTATTACATATGTAGAAATAGCTGCAATGAAAAAACGTGCAGCCAACTTTGAGGTTCATAATGGAGAGCTTTTCAAGAAAGGTTTTCTAGAACCTCTTTTGAAATGCATCAATCCCGAAAAGGGGAAAGAAATTCTAGAAGAATTGCATTCGGGCTACTGTGCCTCTCACATAGGCGGCAGGGCACTAGCGTGTAAGGCCAGGCGGCAAGGCTACTTTTGGCCCACTCTTGAGGCAGACGCCATGGAAATTGTGAAAAAGTGTGATAAGTGTCAAAAATTCGGCCGACTCATACACCGTCCGTCCACAGATCTGACAGCCATTCACAGCCCAGTATTATTCGCCAAATTAGGCATGGACATTCTTGGTCCATATGCGCCTGCTCCAAGCGGACGGTGGTATATTCTAGTCGCCGTTGACTACTTCACCAAGTAGGTAGAAGCAGAGGCGGTCAAAGGCATTAAGACAAAGGATGTCATCTCCTTTATTTGGAAGAATATCATCACCCGGTTTAGGTACCTATTTTTGTTGTCTTTGACAATGACCCTCAGTTTGAGACGTTTACCCTCAAGAATTGGTTGGAAGACCAAAGGATCTCTTATTGCTTTGCATCAGTCAGTCGTCCCCAAGCAAACGGCCAGGTTAAAGCCTTCAACAAGCTAATCTCAGACGGCATTAAAAAGAAAATTGAAAGAGCTGACGGTCTATGGGCGGATAAGTTACCTCATGTCCTTTGGGCCATCAGAACAACAGCAAAAGGGGCAACCGGAGAAACCCCATTTATCATGGCGTACAGCGCTGAAGCCGTCTTGCCCATTGAACACTATGAGCCGACTCTTCGAGTCATGTTGTATGACGAAGAGGCTAACTGGGAGGCCATGTGGCTAGCATTGGATTCACTCCCGGAGCGCAAGGGTAATGCTGCCTTACGTTATGAGATTTTCAATCTGAGAATGATCAGAGCCTACAACAAAAGAGTGCACAAACGACCCTTGAAAGTAGGGGACTTTGTGTTACGAAAAATGGAGGCAACCGGTAGGGCCAATGGGCAAAGAAAGTTGACGCCTAATTGGGAAGGCCCCTACCGGATCTATGAAGAAGTAAGAGGCGACACCTTTCGCCTGAAAACTCCAGACTGAAGGCAGCTAGCCAGAACTTGGAATGTAGATAACTTAAAAAAGTACTACTTCTAAGACTTGTAAATTTTTTGTAAACGAAAATCCTATCAATGAAAAATTGCTTTTTGTTTTCAATTTTGATGCTTTATTAGATATCTCCCAATGGGAACACAACCTGTGCAATGTGCAGACGGCTAAATCTAGACCAACCGTCTGCTCCAACAGGAGTAGACGTCCGGCGATGCCCATCCGAGTGAATTCGTCGCAGAGAGCATCTCCCATTTGGGTGATACATTGCTCTATAAACTCAAACACAAGCGGCAAAGATTGATTAGCCCAATAAGGGCTAATTCACAGCCGTTTGACCTGAATAATCTAAAATGGAACCTAAATGGCATAAATAAAACTGCATGTCTTATTGACACCAGCCGTCATTCCAACTTAGATTAATATCTCGTGATAATAAGTAACCTAAGAAATTCCCATAACGGGGCAAAGGCACTTTGAGTCGCCAGTTTCAATACAAACGGTCCAAGATCAGAGTCCCTTTGGAAAAATTGATACGATCAATGATCGTCTAATACTCTATTCGGATGCCTAATGGACGACTGTGTGCTTGATTTGGGGTAATCAACCCACTTTTGAAACCAAGCGCACATCCGTCCAAGGGCAAGTACATTCGACACTACATCCGATATACAACATTTAGTAAAATTGATGCAAAAAAAAAAAAAAAATTTACAAGGAAAACCGACCCAATGGCCGGCTGTTTCATATAAAACCGACCCCATGGCCAGTCAAAAGAAAGTGTTAACCGATTTTACAATCGGTGAGAAAAAGAAATTGTCAATCAAACCCGACTCCTCAGCCGGTAAAGATACATATATACTCGGCACGTAGGCCAAAAAAGTAATTGTCAGGCCATTCGGCCAAAGAAAAGATTTATATTTGATCTGGAGTGGAGGACTCTTCTACATTCTCATCCGACTTTTCACCGGCATCAGCCGGATGACCCTCATCATGCTCGAATTCCTCATTATCAGCCTTGTACTGTCTTCATCATCATCAGCTTCGCTATTTTTCTCCGCTTGCAGCCGCTCCTCGTCAAGCTCTTCAGTAGCTTGCTCAAAACGATACTCCTAAACGGAGTAATCGTCGTCAGGATGCAATGCCTTCTAAGCCATTCTCATCCGGATGGCACAGTCGGCTTCGTTCTCCTCGACCAGCTGCCTCTTTTCCTCCTCGGCCCTGGCTTGGAACTTCTTCCTCAGCTGCTGCTCTTCCTGGTTGGCGAGTTTTCTTTTCAGATTCTCGTTCTGGCGGCGGAGGCTGTCTGTTTCCCTACTGACATCCTCATGCTTGTCAAGCTCATTCCTGGCTGACTTCAGCTGGCCCTCAAGCTCAAATACTCTCTTCTAGGCCGCCTCTAGCTGCTGCTTGTTGACCTCCGCCTGAGAATGCAGGATATCATGAGTCAGTGCTTCATTTTTACATATGTCAAACATGGCTTAATCTAAAGCAGAGGCGACCCTTTCTTTGGCACTCTTTACCTCTTTCTGTTTGTCTGAGAATGGCTTCTTGAGCCCATTCACCCATAGCATGGCCTGCATTCGGCAAAGAAGATCATCAATACAGACGGCATGAGAGGGGTTAGAAATATTTTCTAACTTAAAAACAAGTTACCTCAGCTAGCAACGCCAAGATGGCATCAAAGTTGAGGGTGCCCACCCCCCTCACAAAATCCCGCTCCTTAGCAGAGATGACCTTCAGCATGTTCTTAGCGAACTGCTTTATATCCGGCCTTTGAGTAGCATCTGCACATTCAACACTTGGTGAGAAGTTGAAATAAGCCCGGCCTATAGACAGGGTGTCTTCAGAGCTGTTGGGCGACTGCTGATAAGACTTCACCCTATTAGGGTAAGGTAATGGGTTGAAGGCACTGATACCTGGGAGCTCAACCTCCAATTCCTTAGCACGCCTGTCTTTGCGTCCGCCTGCGACAGGCTCGCCTGTTGCTGCTGAGTCGACAACAGCGGTGAGTGGCTTGCCACTCTTCGACTCCCGAGGGGCGTTCGGTTTTTTAAGGACTCCGAGAGAAGAAGGCGACTTGTCGGTAGTAAAGGGGTGGGAATCATCCCCAGTCTCCGCCAGTCTTTCCTCTTTGACTCCTTGCTCAAGGTCATCATGAACCCCTTGTGACAAGTTAGGGTGTACCACCCAGGGCCGACTGCCTTAGGAGCCTTGCTCAAATAATGCATCGAAGCAAAGGCCTCAAAGCCCGGTTTCACCCCTTGCATATTACAGGCGGCGACGTATCCAAGCACATTCACCCACGAGTTAAGGGCAAGCTGCCAAACACCCAGGCGGTATCAGTCCAGGATTTTCTTAATGTCTTTATCAAGGAGGAATCTCAAGCCTGCCTATATCGCAGCTTCGTAGCAGCCGAAGCATTGATCCCCGTAACTCTGATTGAATGGCCAAACGACTGTAACGTCCAGGTTAGGGACATGAATCTCATATCCGGCCCCTATGACATAGGTGTCCCAAAATTCCTCAAGTTTTTTCAGCATATTTCCTTGAGTCTCAGCAGAGACATGGGTGAAATAGGGGATGAATTCTTTTTTAGCAGAGGAAGAATCTTCCCCTTGTCCTCTTTGAGGAGAGGTGGCCTCCTCCTTAGAGTCAAAGGTAGACTCTGAGATTTCTATCTCCTCATGAAATACAGGTGGCTCAGTTCTATCTTCAAAACCGCTTGAAACGGCATCCGACTGGGATGACCCTTGTTCAGAGCCGGATGCACTGTCATCAACCCCATCATCTGACTCGTTCGAATGGAGTCATTCGACATGCTTGGAGTGCCGGGTGGGTGATCAAAAACCTCATCTCTTGGCACCCTAATAGCACCGCCATCTTCCTCATCTATGGGGCCCTGGGTTGTCTTTTTAGTTCTGACCATAGTGTCCTGCACAGACACAGAGACGGTCGGATTCGGGGATGTTTGCAGAGGGGAGTCCAAGTGAGGGCAGGTGACACTCCTAGTCCTAGATTCAGCCGTCCCTGTTGACCGGCTGATAGCTACCCTAGGTCGTGCTATGTGTGTTTGTGAAACCATTTTGAAAAACAAGGAATAACAAACACAAACGGAAATTAAAGAACAAGAAAGAGATGGAGCAGACGGTTACCTTGTATTGAAGGTATTAGAGGAACCTCTTGGGACGTCTGTAATGCAGGCGGATCGAAATTAAGCGGCAATAAACAAATTCTCTCAAAAGTAAAAGATTCTATATTTGAAAATTTCTCGTGAATGTGCGAAAATGAGGGGATAAAAACATATATATATATAGGGGTAAAAATCTCAGGGGCAACCCCGACATTTACTCTAGAAGGTAAATAGTAAAAATTGTGTTCACCCATGCATGTGTGACACTTGTCACAGGCGTCACGTGGCGCGCCATGTCACCCCTGTGAGAGGCAAATGATTTAGATATTTTTTACCCTACCACGTGGACCAACCAGGGCTAGACACGTGGCAGGCAGATACTCCATATGGAATTGGTGGCCTTCAAGGCCCAATTCCCTAGACTGCCAAAAAACGGCGCAACCCATCAGTCCTAGGTTTCTGTAACCTAAGACAGAGGCACAAATTCCAATGACCCTATAAATAGGGAGATTTACCCCACTTTGGGGAGAACATTCGATGATTGCAACATAATCAATTCTCTCGCATCAAAGAAAAACACCTGATCTCGGAATCCGAGAAGATGTTACTTTACTTTCCGCACCTTTTTACATTCTCCGTACACGTTCTAACTTGATCGTTGGAGGCGGAACTCCACCCAACCGAGGGTGACATAAATCTCCCGAGGGACACAGAAAACCCCAAACAACTACCATATCATAAAAAAAGCAATTGATTATATTAATAACAATACAGCTAAATTTTCATGTAGTTAAGCGAAATCCAAGAAAAACAAAAGCAACCAAAGAAAAATCCAACAATCTCGTATACGAAACCAAACAAGCACCGAAAATCCAAAGAAAATTGAATTTATATACTGATTTTGACATTATGTGGCAACAACTTAATTAATTTAAACGACTATTTGAATTAAGAAGACAAAAAAAAAATAGGGCTAAATACCTTATCAGTTTGGGGGTAATTATCAAAAAAGCATTATGTTGATCAAGTGGTGGTGGCAACGCTAGATGGTTGGCCGCTGGTGTGCAGGAGGCGTCGATGACAACCGGTAATATGATATGTGTGGTGGTTCTGGTGGAGATGGAGAGGGTTGTCGTGGTGTGTGTGGTTTTATTTATTTATTTTTCTTTTTAGTTTTAATGTATTCAAATGAGTAGTGTGTTGAGTAGAGTATTAAGGAAAACCGCAACCTTGAAAAGCGGTTTTGATACTATAACGGCTATTTGAAGTAGCAATTTGTCTTTAAAAAATTAATTTTGCCCAAACGTATTTCTAGGCCTACGTGGACAACAATTTCGTAATTAAGTTTAGTACCGACGCAAAATAGTAAATAAGTTTCAAAATAACCATAATTGGTAAATCGTCCCAAAAACTGAACACGAACATGCAATTTTATATGTTCATATTTTATAAAGAAATGTTCATTTTATATGTAGTAAATGTTCAGTTTATATTACAAAACTATTAAATTATTACGAGTCAGACAAACTTTTTTACAAAAATTTATGTTTCTTATATAGTGTGTATATGATATGATGTGTTCAAAATTTGCGATTGTTTAGATTTCTTTCCTAAATATTCAAAATTTGCTATTGTTAAGATTTTTTTTATTAAATGTTCAAAATTATAGGCGTGGTGCATTACGATTGTTCAGATTTTTTTACTAAATGTTCAAAATTTGCGATGTTCAGATTTTTTTTACTAAATGTTCAAAATTTGTAATTGTTCAGATTTTTTTACTAAATGTTTAAAAGTATAGGCGTGATGCATTGCCATTGTTCAATTTTTTTATTTTTTTTATTAAATGTTCAAAATTTGCAATGTCTAGATATTTTCACTAAATGTTCAAAATTTGCAATTGTTCAAATTTTTTTTATTAAATACTCCCTCCGTCCCTGAAAGAACGAATTTTTTGGGTTGATTTCGCGGGTATTAAGAAAGTTATTGGAAGTATAAGAGTGTATGGAAAAGCTAAGAAAAGTAAATTGAAAAGAGAAATTTACATTAGAATTGCAAAAAGGTAGAGAGAGAAAGTAATAAAAGTATATAGAAAAAACAAAATTTGCATGGGGAAGCTAATTTTGCACAAATATTATTGCAAATTAAAGGGTATTAAAATGGAAATTGGATGAATATTTTGGGACTAAAATTAGGCCAAAAGGGTCGAACTTTTGATGACGGAGGGAGTATTTAAAAGTATAGATGTGGTTAGGGGTGTACACCGGTCCAAAACCGGACCGGACCTGGACCGGACCTGTTTGGACCGGGGACCTGAATTAGAGAATTTTGAGGACCGGAGACCGGACCTGAATCAACAGGTCCGGTTTCGGGTCAGACCTGAAAATTCAGGTTCGGTCCGGGTTTAGACCTGAACAGACCTGAATTTGTATTTTCCCTTTTTTTTTCTTTATTCAAGCCAAAGTTTTGACTAAAAACTATCATCAACAACCTCCTACGAACAACCCACCACCACTAATACATACACCCCTAGCGGCCTAGCCCACCACCACAAGCTTCTTTCCTTCTACCACCTACCCCAACTCACCCCTTAACTACCTTAACCCCCTTAACCCAGACACCATAACCCCAACAACCCAGACCCATTGATACCCACCCATAACCCAGAAAAACGAAAAAATTGAAAAAAAAAACCCACCACCGTCAGGCATCCACCGCACCCACAACCCAGAAAAACAAAAGAAAAAGAAAAAAACCCAAATCGATTCCACACATACATCCAACATCCGAACAAAAAACAAAAAAACGAACAAAAAAATCGCAAAAAACAAATTATACATAAATTGTCAAAAAATCCGAGAAAAAAAAAACAGAAATTTCGAAAAAATAGATCTACAAACTTAAATTACAAAATTTATAATTTTACATTACAATTTCATTAAAAAAGATAATTATAATCGTAAATTATGTGAAAAATAAAACTAGATCTACATACTAACCTATATTCAACTAAAACTAAAGTATAAACAAACTCTGGTGACGGCAGATGGTGGACGACGGGGCCTCGATGTTGGACGACGGTGCTCCAATCCCACGATGCTGGAGCCAGGAAGAGAGAAGAGGAGAGGAAGAGGAGTCGTTGAGAACCAGAAAGAAAGGGTGAGATTGAGAATCAGAGAGGAAGAGGGGAGATTGAGAATTAGAGAGGAAGAGGGGATACTGAGAATCAGAAAGGATAAGAGAAAAGGTGAGAGGACAAGAGGCGTTGCTGAATAGTTGAAGTATTAGGTTTTTTAGGCTTTTATATTTTTTTTATATATATATTATATAAAAAATCCGGGTTTCAGGTCCGGACCTGAAAACCCCGGTTTTGGACCTGATCCGGACCGGAACCGGAAACCTTGAATTTCAAGGATCGGGACCGGACCTGAATCTACAGGTCCGGATCAGGTCCGGTCCCAACAGGTCCGGTTCAGGTCGGTTTTCAGGTCCGGTCCTGTTTATGTACACCCCTAGATGTGGTGCACCAAGCTATTAAAATTTGCGTTGACCCCTTTATTTCTAATCCGTATAGGAATGAATATGGAGCACGTGACATGGCCCAAGTCTACTCATTAAAACATGGAATCTGTTCGTCTTCTTAAGAATCTCACATTCTCACAGTCCCTTAACAACAGATTTCTGAAAATTTTCAAGGGCGGGCGAAGCTTTTCACCACTTTCTCTCCCCTCCTCTTCTACTCAACTCCTTTCACGGCTTCACTCTCAGGTTAATTCTGTACTACTCTCTCTCCTTTTTACTACTTCTGATTGCAATCTTGCTTCTAATTTTTCTTAATTTTTATTTCATTTAAAAAGAATTAATTTCAGCGAATTTGTTGTTTTTTTTTTTTTTGAAAAAATTCCGTTTAGTCATGCTTTTCTTGCATTTTTTGTATGTTATTTATGATTTTTATTTGTTCAATTGAGTTATTTGCTTGTTAATTGTTCTAATTTTCGAGAAAAACTGGATGCAACTTTTGAACAATTATGTGGTGAAGTAAGGAATATTGTGTTTGTGTGATTGGATTTTGGAATTTAGGAAAATAAAACAATGCTGCAATTATGCTTTTAATACTTCGTAGTAAAGTTTTAGGCCTGAAGCTGATCAGTTTGGGTTAAATCCCGCAAAAAGATGTTTTTTTTGGTTAATTAGTTTATTGAAGTATTAATTTTATGCAATGGGGATTTAAAGATCAATTTCGGAGTAACAATCGATTGTTTAGGGTTTTGTAAATGGGGTTGTTTTAATTGATGCATGTGGTATATCCCGGAGGACGCCCAATTGAGCTGCATTAAGGGGGTTCCAGTTGATTTGCATGTTGGATATTGAAGAAATAAACTTTATGGCATTTAGGGGCTGATCTATGTTTTTTTTTTTGAGTATGTGAAAGAGGGTTATGTAGGGTGCTATGTTCTTAATAGTAGTGTTGAATGTCGGTGTTTTTAAGGAGTGGAAGTAGAAGACTTGATTTTAGGGTTATATTTGCTAGGATCCTTGTGATAGGAAGGTTGGACTTCAAAAGCTTCAAATTTGTGTAGAAACTAGAAAGTAATGATATAAGTACTATCAAGCTGAAATATTAGCTGATAGCAGCTTGTTTCAAGCTGAAATATGGTGTTTCAGGGCAGATGTTTATAGTTTTATTTGTTCAAGGATTCTTGTGGTTTGTGTGTTTGACACAAAATTTGTATAGTAAAGTATTTGTGTAAGCTTGATTATGTGAATTACTATAAGAAGGAAATCATCTTAGTTTGTGACTAGTGTTTTTTACCCAGGATGGTATACATTTTGTAAAATATTAGGCCAAACTAGACGATTTGTCTCTTCACGAGTTCATGTGCTTCATTTACTGGAATCAGGATTCCAATTATAAGGCACCCTGTTATTGATTCAATTCAATTCTTTTATTTTTACCTTTTAAATTGAAGTATGATGATAGACTGCAATAGGTTATTTCGTTTTAACTTGCAAAACCTATCCTTAGTGGATGACAGTCATGACACAGCTTTTTAGTTTAGTTTAAAACTTCAAGAGAAGCAGTTTTTATTAGGCGGTTCTAATATTAAACTTATGCAGAGATATTTAACTTTGTGTATAGGTAATTAGGTCCTTGAATGGAATAATATCACTCCCTTTGTCCCAAATGAACTAAAGCACTTTGACTAGCCATCCTTATACAGAGGAAGGGAATGAAGTAGTATGAACACACCATGCACGAACATACGCAAAATTTAGAAGAATATGTTTCAAGCATTTTGAGATGTGAAAATACCAAGTGTTTCTCTTATTTGGGGCAAAGGGAGTAGTTCATATTTTACACTGGTCCTGATGAATGGTTGATTTTTTTTCTTATCATTGTCAGTTGATAATCCATGGGCTTTAAATGCTAATTGATAGAACTCATAGAAGTGACGTATGTGCAGATCAGTTTAAGTAATTAATGCTTTCGCTAAAGCTCCAAAATATATCTACATTATGAGAAAAAGAGTTGATCCACAAAGCATGGTTGGGGAGGAGGTCCTACGACGATGTACCTCAAGTGAATCAGATGATATGAAAAGTTTGGATTCTATTTCCAATATAAAAAATAATGCTGAATTATCTCAAACAACTACCAATATAAAAAATTGCATTGACGATTTAGGACAGGCAAAGGAAGAAATTCAGGGCACTCAAAATATGGCTAAAGGCATCAACAAAGATGTAACTTTGCAGCCACCAATAAATAGCTCTGAAGTGGTTGAAACATTGTCAGTTGGTCACTTTTCAAAGGTGAATGTTATTCAATCTAACAATAATGGTGGAATTGGCTCCTTAGTTGGTGCGAATGAAGAACTTGGAACTGACAAAATCAATGGTAAGTACATCCAGACCATCCAGTATTATAGCTTGAAACAATTGGACCTGTTGAAAATGTTATGATACAGCAAGGTCTGCTTGTCTCCTGGAATAATCTCACTTTGTTTTGCTGTTAATATATGCATGATTCTTAAGTGTTAATGATTCTGGGTGTTGCTGAGACATTAATTGGGAAGCTGATATGATATGCATAGTTTCTCATGTGAATGTTAGGTCTATGCTCCTTTTGCTATCTTTCCCAATTTGCTGTGCTTAGAAAAAAGATCATTTTTGATAATAATTTATTCTTATTGTATTGCTTCCTGTTTTCAGCACATTAAATCAAAGTAAGCTTGTGTTAATCTGAGGTTCATTCTTGGCAATATGTTTTGACCAATTTCTTTATTAATGGTTTTTGGATTATATGAAATCTTTGCTATTTTGTAGCATATTTTCTCGTTTTGCTGTTGACCCATGAGATTCAATAATATGATTCTTATTGTTGTTTTACACTAGTCTTATTTCATAATTATCTTTAATGCGGGTTTATCACCATTAATAGGTTCTAAAACAACTGAAGATGAATGCAATAACAAAGAGTCCTCAGTTCGTGTAGTTTATAGTTCTTTACCAAGGTTAGTATAAGTGCTTATGAATTTTGCTGGAACAATGTTTCTTACTTCTGAGTTCTGACATTCTTTTTCCTTCAAACTTTGATCTATTATCTTGCAGCCACAGCAAAAGAAAGCTTGAGGAATTCTTACATCAGTGGTCTGAGTGGCACACTCAACATTTAATGTCGGCTGAGGTGAGCTTTTTTCTTTGAACTATCAAGCCTGTATGATCAAATCAAACTGATTTATTTACTTGGGCTTGTCATCTGAGATCTGACAGAGACCTCTTGAATGTATGACCATTTCAGGATCCAGCTTACTGTTTAGAGTCTGGTGAGGAAACTTACTTTCCTGCATTACGTGTTGGTTCGGAGAAGTCTTTGGCATTGGTATGTTCTCTTTCTCTCGTCCTAGTAGTTTAAAACTTTAAACCTAGGTGTTTTGGTGTAGGACTTCTAAAGTCTTGCCATTTACGTTAAAGGAAAAGATTTATTTGCTTTCAGTTGCTATAAAATGCTTGAACAATCATTTAGCTGGATGCATATGATCCCCCCCCCCCCCCTCCTTATTTTGGAGATATTTATGTAAAGGTGAAGAGGTCCCAGTATTTTGGAACTGGATAGCTGCTGGTATTTCTAGTGTTTTGGATTGTCTTTTTGGCTGCTTTTCTAGTCATTATTACTTGCTAGTTAGAGATTGAATGATAACCATTGATAATTTTTTCAATTAGAAATTGAATGGGATCATAAAGCTTATTCATTATCCATATGCCATTTGAATCAATTACTTTGTATGTAATCTAGAAACTTCCATGTCATGCATGTTCAAAGAACTTTATGTTCTGTAAAAGCATCTTGCTGGAGTTTCAGCCTTTAATTGGCAGACATTTACAAATCCAATCTTGCACAGGAATTAGTGGCATCCCAAGTCACTAAAATTGACTGTTTATATAAGGTTTCACCTAACATATATTTTCTTTTGGATGCTAGTCATTTACAATGGATGGCCATGTCCAGAAAAGGCAACGGAAAGAGTCATTATCTGTGAATAATGATTGCTCGCCATTGTATGATAGAGGATATGCTGTTGGTTTGGCATCTGATGGGGGAAATGTCGAAGGTAGGTAAGAATTCAGTGAGGCCTTTATGTCCGAAGTAGGATGTTATGACAAATACTTTACTTATTCCAGTGCTTTTTGTGAGTAGAAAAGTGAGTAAAGAAATTGATTATTCGACGTAAATTTGGTTCTATAGATATGCTTTATGCTTGATGTTGTTGCTGAAGTGTTGAATACCCTTTGATGATATGTTATGTTTGTCTGAAGTAGGATCTTGTGATTTATATGATTTAAATAAGGAAAATAATGTTTGTCCCTGTGGTTTCAGCATCGTAGATATGCGTGATGCTCCTCGTTGCTTCAATTGTGGTTCATATAATCATCCTCTCACCGAGTGTAAAAAGCCTCGTGATAATGCTGCTGTAAACAATGCTCGCAAGCAATTTTTAAGCAAAAAGAACCAGAATGGTCGTCCCCGTGCCCAAACTCGGTATTACCAGGAATCTGCTGGTGGCAAGTATGAGGGGCTTAAACCAGGTGCTCTTTCAACTGAAACAAGGAAGTTGCTGGGTTTAGGGGTGAGAGCTCACTCTTTCTTTGTGGTAAATTTTATGTAATAATCGAAGTAGTAATCTATTAGTGAACTATGAAATGCTCATATAAGGCCCTTAGGATATTCTTTTACTGATTAAGTATGCTTCAGGTCAATAAGCTACTCTGTATTTTTTGATGTGTTACAGGAGCTTGATCCACCTCCATGGCTTAATAGGATGCGTGAAATTGGGTATCCGCCAGGGTACATAGGTAAACAGTTATTTATGCCTATTTGAATTAGCTATTTTTATTGATGTCCATATGCTAGGTTTAGATTATATACTTTTTATGTTTGTGTTTGTTTGGTTGACATCCAATTACATGGGAAGTACAACTTCCTAGGAAGTAAAAGTTTGAGGAGGTTTTTTGGTTGGCATGAGCATAGGAATTAACTTCTTATAGGAAGTTCATTTCCCACTTAATGGTGGATGTAGTTTACCTAGTCCCCCAGGCAAAAGGTACGTAGAACTTTTCATGGGAATTTCAACTGTCTAGCAAATTATATTGCTCACTTCTTAGGAAGCAAAACTCCTTAGGAATAGCAAATTTATGGGATGTTTAACTTTCTACATGCAACTAAATGGCCACTTAGATTAAAGAAAGTAAAAGATTTTATCAAACTTGGTCCATGCCAATTCACCCGAAGACTACTGTATGTTATTTTTTTTTTTGTAAAAGATCCTTTTGCAACTATTTTACATCAGATGAAGATGAAGAGGAACAGCCTTCAGGAATTTCAATCTTTGGTGATGAAGAAACGCAGAATCTTGATGGGAAAAATGACCTTCAATTAGATGTAGGAAAATCCCAGCAGAAATTCACTGTAGATTTTCCTGGAATTAATGCCCTTATACCGGAGAATGCAGATCAAATGAAGTGGGCAGCGCCTGTAATTCCAGCACCTGAGCATGCTTGGAACCAATCAAACAACAGATGGAATCATGCTCGAGATTCTCTGAATAATGGGGTTTTCCGTGGTGGGTATGGGCCACGGAATCACATAGAGCCCCCATATTCTCACTTTGGTCTCGGGTTAAGTCCACCACTGCCTCATAATCCACATCATTATTATCCTAGAGAACCATTCAGCCCGAGAGGTCTCTCAGTTCCTGGAGGCCCACGTTATGGAAGTCCAGGCGATGCACAGAGGCCTTTTCTGCATTATAACTACGGTAGTATCTGACCTCATTCTCATATGTCCTAATTTATGGTAGCTAGTTAGATGGAAGAAGGAATCAAGTGGTCTGCGAAAGTTATTTAATTCTTAGGTAGATGTTGTACAATAATTAGCTTCTCATTGTTGTCAATTATAGTTAATCTTTGCTCACTGAGAACAACGGAGCAGATCCATCGATTATCAAATGAATAATTAGCTTCTCATTGTTGTCAATGATAAGTTGCGGTCTATTGACAGTTATACCCGAAGTAGGACATGGATGTAGTTAAACCTTTGTTGGTTCATGTTATGTCATCAAATATTTTAACTTATTTTACGGTACAACTTGGTTTGGTATGGTCATGTATGCTCAACGGTAAGTGGGTCCACCCAGAAGTGCTTAGAAGTAACTGCTCTAATGGTGGTTGGTTCTCTTGATCTACAGTTAGGTCATCTGTGAACTTGTTCTGTCCCCATAATTTTGTATTTCTTACGCATGACCGTTGTTTTCTTAGTTTTATTTTCAATTTTTAAACATTTTAGTACTTGTTTTTAGTGTTAGTTTATTATATTATGTGGTCATCAAACTATTCACAGTTATAATAATTATTATTATGACCATTAAAATCAACGAAAATTGACCATTGTTACGTATGTATATCTAGCTCATGTGGGGTGCATATAATGGTCGTCACCGCCATATGATCACCTTGGATCCTTCATTCGTAATTTATTAATATAGTTCATGTTTTATTAAGAGCTTAATTTATTTAATTGTTTGTGGGTAAACAACTTTTTAATAGTACATTTCATATACTACGTAGTATATAGTATTCTTTTTGTTAGTGTTATTGTATAAACTTCTTATTAAAATGTGCATGATGTATTTTGTAGATTTTTATACTAAATTCTCTACTGGACCATTCGATTTACCAGTGCATTATGTGGGCTATAATTTTGCGAAATTAGGTGTTATTAATCTTGTCTATGCAAGTTTTTGATATAATTTGTCATGGGAGAGTCTAATAAGCCACTTTTGGCGGATCTCTCGTAATAAAGTTATACGGCTATATATAAGAAGTTTATAATAATAAGAAAATGATAAAATTTGTTATGTATTAATAACATTGATTGACGCATGATTTTGTCAAATTTTCAACATTATACCATTTTAGGATAGGTAGAAAATTTCTAATATAACCCTAAGCGTTGTGTATTACCTCTGTTTTAAAATATTGCAACACTTTAACCAAAAAACTTTCAAATTTTTAGTTCAAGTTTTTATAAAATGGAAGAATTACAGTACATTCTAACAAAAAAAAAAATGTATCGTTAATGGAAAAGTACAGTAATGACTTTAATCTCTTTTCACATAGTGAAAACATGTTGAAGATCAATGATAAATTTATTCATAAAGTTACAAATTGTATAATTATAAAATGGGCAATTCTGATTTGGTGTTCGGAAAGCTATTATCCTTTAGTAAAAAGCTTCAAGAAACGCCGACCTAGGAGAGAGAAAAAAAACATAGCTTGTGGCTCAAAGAATAGCATATACTCCTAGTGCATGATTAAGTTGCATCAAGTTAATAATAACACAAGAAGAAAAAAGATAGAGGAAAACAAGGAAAAGAGGAGACAACAATTAAGTGGGTTAGCCATTATTGATATACGTGCATTAGTGCTTTATGTTTCTTGTTTGTGGACCTTTTTTTTTGGTATCATTAGACGTTAATTATACTGTAATATTACTACTAATTAATAATTAATGTTGGGATTAATTTTGGGGTGATCAAAATTTGGGAGTCCAAAGCTAGGCTTTGGGTTCTGTTATTGATGGTGGGTTTGGTTTTGGTGTGTTTTTACCTGCTCTTTTTGTAGGTTTTAGCCCTTTTCAACGTAAGTCAAGTATCTTTAGTCAATTTTATTTTTCTGTCTTTTATCATCTTTTTCTTCATCAAAAATTCTGCTTATGAGTTGTGGCTGGTATAGGGTGTTAATTTTTCAAACTTGATTGAATAGGATTATGGGAGTAATAGTGAATTGAGGCAAATTAAATAAGAATCAACATGTAAGCTGCTTGAACTCTATATTGAATTTGAATGAAATTAACTCGAACTTGAACATGATTTGAAATGTTAATTAGTCCAATTAAGTAAGATTTTGCTCGACTCAAAAGCATTACAGAGTACATAACTTTATAATTTTGTATGTGTTGAATTAAAATATAGACTGATATTGTTAATCAATAACCTTTCTTATTCTATAATAAGCAGATGTTTTTATATGAGAAAAGAATTGATCTTTTGATTTTTTTTTGTTTTTTTTTATTTTTGATTTTTGATTTTTTATCGTTTACTTGTTTTAATGATGTAACCAGTTATGCACTTCGTACGAATATATGATGAATAATAATTAATCTTGACATCTTAGGTTTTCTCTTTGAGTGGAGGGTCATACGATAATAATTTCCCTTGTGATAGAGTGCACTATATTTCTTATAAGGTAAACTATTTCGTACTAAATTGAAAATAAGTTCAAAACAAATGGCTTAATACATACGAGTACTCCAAAATGAGTTTTCGTGGGTATGATTGCCTTCACAAGTATCTATCCTTAGATGTTACCTTTATTTCATATTATTTGCAATTATTAAATATTTTTTACCTATATTTCATGTCAAATCGTTGCAAATATAAAAAGAATAATAGTGAAGTTTTAGATAAGAACAAAAAAACCACTGAACATTGCTCATTTCTTCAACACCTAATCAGACTGACATTTTAGATCTTCTCATAGACAAAAGCTTAAACATGTTTCTTTTTATGACTTATTTTTGGCAGATCTATCAATGTAAAAAAAAAGCTACATAAAAACAGCTAATACTATCATACGAAGTATAGAGCAGTACTGTAGTACTATAATCTATTGAAACAGAAACATTAGACTTTTTTCTTTGTTGGGTCCCTTTAACCGAAATCATAAACCAAATGCGACAGTTCCTTTGTCTCCTTCAATCTTACTATTTCCTGAATTTCAACTCTTTTCTTTCCTTTTTATTTTCTCTCTCTTCTATAAAAGTTCACTGTTTTTCTAAAAAAAATGTCCTCTTTTTTCTAATTGTCTGCTCTCCTCTCTTCTGTTAGGTGGTGGTTGCTCACCTTCATTCACTTCTTTTTTTTCACTTACAATTTTATTTTCCTTATAAACTACCTAAGTAACACCTACAAATTCTCCACTTCCATTGTATTTTCTTATAATAGTGCAATATTTTCGTTGTGTTATTCAATTCTAAGGTTATTAACAAAGATGAGGACGATAATGTCGTCGAAAACTCCTGGAGAAGCATCCTTCTCCTTCTCTAGAAGGTACTTTAATTGGCGGAAGAAACCCGAAGATCTTCTTATTGAAGAGGATTGTTATGATGAAGAAGGTATTCTTCGTTCTTTTTCGAGTCTTCCTTCTGAAGGTACTTTAAACATCTTATCGAGTGATACAAATGATAACGAGGTTGAGGCGATTAAGTCTTGTGTCTTAGTCCCTAAAAAGACTAAGAACAAGAATAAGATTTCCGTTTTTAAGTTCACGTCTTTTTTTACTAGGACGTTAAGTAATAATAAGTCTGGAGATAATACTAAAAGTAATAATAATAGTAATCGTTCTTCCACAACTCTTGGGTCGAAAGTTGTTGGTACGTTATTTGGCTTTAGACGTGGTCATGTTCACATTGCGTTTCAAGAAGATCCGAAGACGACACCGGCTTTTCTTATCGAGCTTTCGACTCCGACTAGCGTTCTAGTGCGGGAGATGGCTTCAGGGTTGGTGAGGGTAGCATTGGAATGTGACAAGAAGTTGGATAAAAAAGGGGTGAAGTTGTTAGAGGAGCCACTTTGGAGAGCTTATTGTAATGGAAAAAAGTGTGGTTATGCTATGAGGAGGGAGTGTGGACCGCACGAGTGGCGCGTGTTGCGGTCTGTTGGGCCGATTACGATGGGGGCTGGTGTTTTGCCAAGGGAAGGCGGTAGCGAGGATGATGGGGATAGTAGTGATGGTAGTGGAGGAGGTGGTCAACACGGCCGTGCAAAGGAGGGGGAGCTTATGTATATGAGGGCTAAGTTTGAGAGGATTGTTGGATCTAAGGATTCTGAGGCATTCTATATGATGAACCCTGATGGAAATGGGGGTCCTGAGCTAAGTGTTTATTTGCTCCGAGTTTGAGGTTTTTTTTTGGTCATGCATGAATTTGGTATAAAAATTAAGGATTATATGTTCGGATTAATAATGTTTTTGGAGATATGAAATGAAATGAAATGTTCTTATTATATGTGTAACCTGAGGTTTTAAAAAAAAATGGACTTGGATCATCAAGTTTATTTCATTTTGGGTTTTGTTATATGCTAAATTCATATCATTGGCCATCTTGTTGGGATCTTGTTATTTTGAGTATGTATAGCTTCATTTTGTAGTCCTCCTTTTCAATGAAATCTATGGTGGCTCTGCTATTACAATGATTATTCAATTTTCATATTTTCATTTTATAATTAATTTCAATTCACGTATTATCTTTATTAATTTGTTCGAATCAAATACACTCGTTATATACATGTAAGTGAAGATAAGGATAGTGAAGTATCTATCGATAAATATAAATTTTTTTATGGTAAAAAAAGGTTTTTTAATTTTTACTTGTGCATTGAAGTTGTCCTTTTTTATGGGATGTTAAAGTGGAGTTAAGTTATCAAACTAAGTAACAAATCAAAGTGAGAAAGTAAGGCAATCTTTTAAAAAATATCCACCTAGTTTGGTGAGTGACATGGAAGGAATTTTCGAGAGAGATTTGAAATGAATCTTGGGAGTTGGTGGCAGACCAATTTTATCGTAAATTGCTTCGTATCTTTGACAAGGGTGGTCCGCGTGCAACTTCTTCATTTTCAGTTTAGTGGTACCACTACTTCATCACAATTTTTGTCTTATTCTAAAGCTTTGGTGAAGATCGTTCTAGATAATAATAGCTCAAACACCCTAAGTTCCATTAGTTTTTGGATAATACTGCCTTTGTAACTAAAGTATTACGGAGTACTCACCTTAAATCATGAATTTCTCACTATTACAACCATAAATTCTCAAAATAATACGGAGTAGTGAAGATAGCTAGGTGTAATATTGAAAGATTCGTTTCAAAATTTTCTTAGTTTTCTTAATTTCTTACTACATTCAATAAATACTCCGTTTAAATATTATATCTTTAACTATTATTAACAACAAAAAAAAAAGTTGATATTATGAAAATAAACATTTAGAGCAAGAACAATTTAATAAGATTTTATTTGACTATATTTGCCCTAC